GATGTTGACTCTATTAATGAGCGAAGATCTAGGAAAGTCCATTGATGTTTATTTGCGGCCGTTGGTTGATGAGCTAAAAGATTTATGGGAAAACGGTGTTCGTACATACGATAAGTATACTGGGCAGATGTTCACCATGCGAGCGGCAGTGATGTGGACAGTAAACGATTTTCCCGCGTATGCAATGGTTTCTGGGTGGATGACTAAGGGTTATTTGGCATGTCCAATATGCAAGGAGAACGTAACATCGTCTTGGCATGCGAGAAAAGTTTGTTATCTTGGTCATCGTAGATGGCTCCCTTGGGACAACGAGTGGCGTCAGAATGATAAAGCCTTCCACGGCACAAAAGAGACTCGGCTAAGACCAAGAGAATGGTCTGGAGATGAGATTTTGGATCAGTTAAATTGTTTAGAATTTGGTCATTTGGGCAAAGGGGTCAGTAAGCCCAGACCAACTACACATCTGAATTGGACGCACAAGAGTATGTTCTTTGAGCTCCGTATTGGTCAAAGTTAAAAGTGAGACACAACTTAGATGTTATGCATATTGAGAAAAATGTGTTTGATACTTTGGTCGGGACAATTCTAGACATTGAAGGAAAAACGAAGGACATGATCGAAGCTCGCCTCGATTTGGAACGAATGGGCATTAGGTCATCTTTGTGGATGCAGAGTGTCGGTGGTACATTGAAGAAAGGCCATCCTTTTTTTACAGTTAAGCCAAATGGGAAGAAAGAGTTTTTCAACTTTATTTCTTCTGTAAAGTTTCTAGATGGGTACGCTTCCAATATCTCGCGTTGCGTGAACGTGAAGGGGTGTAAATTTTCAAACATCAAGAGTCATGATTGTCATGTGATACTCCAACGCCTTCTTCCGGTTGGTATTCGACACTTATTGCCTCTTGATGTGGTGAAACCAATCGTGTTGTTGTCGAGATTTTTTTCACAGTTAACTGCAAGGTGTTTGCGAAAGTCGGATGTTAAACAATTGCAAGATGACATTGTGAACGTCTTATGCAAATTTGAACAGATATTTCCCCCAGCTTTCTTTACAAGTATGATTCACGTGATGATTCACTTGCCAGATGAGGCATTGCTTGCTGGACCAGTGAACTGTCGATGGATGTATCCAATAGAAAGGTACTTAATTAAGTGTGTGTGTGTGTGTATATATATATATATAATAGATTCATGATCAACAAACACTTTGAATAATTTGTAGCATACCTTTTATTTGTGCAGATATATTGGTGAGTTGAGAAAATGTGTTCGAAACAGGGCAAAGCCCGAAGGATCACTGGTAGAGGCATGGGTCGCATATGAGTCACTAACTTTTTGTGCAATGTATCTTGAAGATGTTGAGACAGCTTTCAATCCTCCTCAACGCAATAATGACGGTGGTGTCAGAAAAGAGAAACTGTCTGTTTTTGCCCAAATTGCGCGACCATTTGGCGATCCTGTAAAAGGCGAATCGTTTACCAAAAATGACATGGAGGTAGCGCATTGGTTCATACTCAACAATTGTGAGGAGGCTTTGCCATACCTTGAAGAGCATGAACAGTTGATGAAGCGGGAACATCCTTCACATTTATATGCCAAGAAGCACCGTGACTTGTTTCCTTCGTGGTTTCACGCACAGGTAAGTTGTATGTGGTTTGAATTAAGCATATTTTCCAACTTGTTCATGCCTTTCTTTAAATTTGGTTACACTAACATGTTAACTTTTTGTATATGTCATATTAGATGAACAAATTGAAGGAATTGAATTCACCCTCTTACGATGAAGAATTATATAACTTGGCGAGAGGACCGCTTCACGTTGAATTGTTCTCGGGTTGTCATGTAAACGGGATCAAGTTCTTGGGGGCAACACGTGATGACAAGTTGTCTACTCAAAATAGTGGTGTTCATGTCCCGGGTGCAGGCGACAGTGAAGACATTAATTTTTATGGCAAACTAACTAGTGTAGTACAATTGCTTTACAAAGACAGGTGTCAAGTGATATTGTTTAAGTGTCTTTGGTTTGATACAAACCCACATAACCGAACAAGTGTTAAGCGAGATCATGGTTTACTATCAGTAAACAGTACGAGACATTGGTACGATGAAGACCCATACATTTTGGCAACTATGGCGAAACAAATATTCTATCTAGACGACCCTAAAGCCGGCAATGGTTGGAAAGTTGTTCAGAAGATTGAGCGAAGAGGGCTATATGATATTCCGGAACTAGATCATGATGACAACGACGACGTCGCTGACCAACAGTTATCATCTTCGATAGAAATTGGTGAAGAAACACTCCGAGATACTAATATTGTCCAAGAACCGTTTGACATACCTGGAGTACCCGAATTCGAAATATCAATTGACCTTGGTGATTTGCCTCAATACAATGCACCAAAAGAGGCAAACGAAGATGAGGACGAATGGGAATCCGGAAATGATAGTAGTGAGGATAGCGACAGTTATTATTGTAGTCCGGATGAGGATTAATATAAACTTGTAAAGGTAAAAGCAGGAGGCTGAGGGTTTAACACCGCTTCTCATCTACCCACACTAATATTCCCAACAAATTGTCCGATCGTCTCCATTCTATAAAGATAAAGATATCATGTAAGTTTTATGTTTTATGTTAGTCTCATGGAAGGTTGTGATATCTTTTCATTTGAGTTGTTTTTATTATATCTTTGATTACCTACTACCAAAGGTATGTTTACCTCTCTGTTGGAATTATTGAAATTTATGGATGACCTCTTTGCAGGTTGTGGCCCAAACCATCTGATCATGCTTTGAAGGTATGTGTTTTCTGTTATCACGCTTAAGTGTTAACATAATTTGTTATTTTCTTTTTTTTTTGTCCGACTACCAATATTTGTGCTGAGATCCTGTGAGTTTTATGTGCATTCATCTTTGACTCAGCCTCAAATGATGGTGGTCTCAGATCTAGATGATGTATTTGTTCCATTGCCAGATGATCTACTTGTTAATCTATCTGAATCAAGAAGCGTAGTGGAGTCTATGTTTCAAGACAACGTGAATGTGGAGTCTGCTTTTGGTCAAGCTCTTAAAGCCTCGCTTATGCTTATGGAGTGTGAGCTTCTTCACAAATAGCAATTTTAATTTTACCTTTGGATAAAATTTATCACCAATTATAAAAGCAGTGTGTTAAGTTATGTATTCCTTGAGTAATTGACTATTTAGTACTTCATTATGCAGTTCCAAGAGTCTGGTTGTGCATTTACTTTGCATAACTTATCTCCACGTGTGTGCTTTTGCAGACCAACCTTGGGGGAAAATTGTTAACATTTCCGGAACCCGCAGAGGTGTGAGACGCTGTCTTCTGTCAGATAATCAGTTGCTAAGAGAAGCCATGACCGGAGGTTGCAGCATCAGAGCCATCTGGATCCTCAACAGTCTCGACGCCGTCGTTTTCTCCAGGTCATCTCCGAACACATTCTCACGCTACCCTCTCTCCATATCTATAATGGCCTGATGGAAAAATTGGAGGAAAATGTTACAGAATTTGTGTTGTTTTTTGAGATGCTGTTTTTGAGAAAATGTTTGTTCATCGTTGATAGAATTGTTATTGCCCTCATTCTTTGAGATGTCTTTCCCCTCTAATGTAGGGTTGCTTTTCTTTACCTGGTCTTGCTGGTTCAGTCTTCTTCTTCACATTTTTTGTTTTATTATTTAAATTTGGTTAGCCGGTTTGTAACCAAGGTATTATCGTGAAGCAACAGGCGTTTTTAGATTTTTAATGTTAGATGTCGTGCCTTTTTGTGCCCGTGTCGTTTATTTTAAGCATTTTACCATATATGTGGTGAATTGCGTATATTTCATTAATTAGTTAAACAATGTCATATTCTATGGAGAAAATTAACCATCGTGTTTGGACAGGGATTGCGTGCAACCGTGTACATTCTACCTGCAAAATGGTCAGTGCAAGTTTGGATTTACATGGAAATTTGACCATCGAGTGCAGACCATGAGGTACAACCTCTCAGCTTCATCTCTCGTTGATATGCCTGTTGTTCAATATCCGGTTGGGTTTCTGCTGGCCACCCTGGCTCCATCATCCTCATCATTGGATCTCCGGCCTCGAAGGTACTCCTTTACTTGCTCGGCGTTTTAATTTCGCTTCGTTTGAGCTCGATTTGTGCTAATTTCGTAATCTGGGGTTTCTAGGGTTTTGTGTTTGGTTTGGTAATGTGAGGTTGTGATTGGGGTTTTGTTCTGGTTTGCGGGGGAATTGTAGAGCAAATGTGGCAATTGGGGCTGACAAGCAGCGAATCGTGCCCGGAGAGACCCGGCGTGCCCAACTGTGTCTACTACATGCGAACCGGGTTCTGTGGATACGGCGGTCGGTGCCAGTACAACCATCCTCGTGATCGTGGTGCGGTAAGTCCTTGTTCGTTGTAAACTTGCATTGCAATCAGTTAATTAGCTTTTTTCAATACTGCTTAATTGTGGGTTTTGATATGTAAACTAGGACTCAAGCTTTCAGTGATAGGTGACTGCAACAAGATATATAGGTTGTTTTGAATTTTCGTAAGTTTGAGTGTTTTGTTGCAGGTAGTTTTTTGTCCCTTTACCTGAAACTAGATGATTGTTCGTTTGCTGAGAAGGCTGGGGAAATGAATGGGACTTTTTTGGAATTTATTCGACATAGTTAAACTAGTCTATATTTAATGAAAATATTAGGCCTAATATTTGTGTTTTGGGCTCGGTGCAGTGGGAAATGTTGCCTTAGTTACAACTGCTTGGATTTTATTGGTAACTGAAATCGTCTTTGCATGTGAATTTTGTTATCTTTTGTTTATGATTTCGGTTTGATGCTGCACGTAGGTCGTGGCAGCTGTAAGAGCTACAGGGGATTACCCAGGGAGAGTGGGGGGAACCTGTATGTCAGGTATGCAATAGTTTTCTGATCTGTTGTAGAATACCCAGTATTATAGTAGAAACTAGAAAGTCCTTTGGTTTTTAGCTACGACTCTGTCAATGGCGGTAGTTGCAACGAGGACCAAAATTTAATGCTGTTTAGTGCAAACACTCATGGTGCTAGATGAGACACATCATTCCTCTTTTTTCTCTTGTATAGTTCTTGTTCAATTATCATGCTAGTTGCGTAATGCGATAGTTGATGTGTACTTGTTACATTCCAAAGATGATTACGATCGTGTGTTAATTGGCTTGTAATGTGATTAGAAAATGTTGGTTACCCGGCACTGCTCCAGCTATTCGTAGTCTCTCTCATTTGTCATAGACCCCATAGCTTTCCCAAACTTTGTGGTATGTGCATAATATTTTAATAAAAATTTATTATTGTTTTAGTAATTTTTTAAAGCTTTTTTTATTAATTTATTTCAAATAGTTTCACTAACATGTATATTGTGTGTTTAACAGAAGAAATCTGTTGCTGGCCAGATAGCTCGAGAGTCAAAGACACTTCTCCACCATTCTGGTTCGAAGCCCTTTTCGTATAGGCTTGAGGAACGACGTCAGGTAATACTATATTAACTTTGAAATTTTATACAATTTATTTATTATTATTAATAAAATTTTCTTAATGTTTTTTTTCTTCAGGAGGGTTCTAAGTTCCCAGAGATCGACATGTTCAAGGACGTTTACGTTCGACCTGGTAATGAAATCGCTGGGCAGTTTTATGTAAGTATATGTAATTATTATTATTCTTATATGTATGAATCGTTCAAATATTATTTATATTTTGTTATTAAACATTATATGTTTTTTCTTTATTATTACAGGATACTATGGTGGAAAAGAGCACTGCTGTTCTCCAAGAAGCAGCATCGCAGCTTCCCCCGGAGACTTCGATCGAGGATGTCATGGTACCAGAGGATGTAGGTTTTCAAATCATGACTGAAGTCCTGGATGAGAACCTTGGTCGTCGTCATGGCCAGGTTGTTCGGGGTATGGGGAAATCACGGGTTCGTGAGACGGGTGCCTCTTCTTCCAGATTGAACACATCATTGATGGATGAAGTGACAACCTTAAGGGGTAAGCTTGCGATCCAGGAAGAGCAGATGAGGGTCCAGGGCGAGCAGATGAAGGAGCAGATGAGGGCCCAGGGCGAGCAGATGAAGGAGCAGATGAGGGCCCAGGGCGAGCAGATGGAAGCGCAGCTGAGGGTCCAGAGCGAGGAGGTGAGGACCTATGCTGAAACGGTGAGAGACCTTGTACGAGCCATACAGACGGCCGGCCTACAAGTCTCGCTACCAGCACCTCATCATGATCCACCTTCGATCTCAGAGCCACCTCACCCTCCCGATACTCAGTAGCTTGATGTTTTAAACCTAGTTCACTTGTACTTTTTTCTTTTTTGTTTGGACATCTTGTATGTATACATTTTTATATATTTTATAATTAAATACTTTTTCTTGGTTAATTAATTATTCTTTACAATATTTATCAAAAATTAAAAAAAATAATTAGTTTTGACCAAAACATTTAAAAAAAAAAAAAAGGGTTTGCGCGACGTAGGTCGCGTCACGCAAGGAAACTTTGCACGACATAGGCCCTGAGTTGCGCAAGGCCACTTTGCTCGACGTAGGCCCTGCGTCGTGCAAAGTTGCCTTGCGCGACGCAGGACCTACGTCGTGCAAAGTTTCCTTGCGCGACGCAGGACATACGTCGTGCAAAGTTTCCTTGCGCGACGCAGGACCTACGTCGAGCAAAGTTTCCTTGAGCGACACAGGACCTACGTCGAGCAAAGTGGCCTTGCGCGACGCAGGACCTACGTCGTGCAAAGTTTCCTTGCGTGACGCAGGTTATACCTTGGTCGAGCAAACTCTAGCGTTACCGACTTGGCGCGACGGGTTTTGCACGACGAAGGTACTTTGGACTTTGCACGACGAAGGTACCTACGTCGCGCAAAGTGTTTTTTCTACTAGTGTAATTGCACACATAAACATCATAGAGAAATACTGTTACCTTGTTAGATAAGTTTGAGGGATTGTATATTGTAACTTGTCTGGCTATCAAATCTAATCATTCTTCATATTAATAATAGTTATTGTTTAAGTTAAGAAAATGGTTCTTTTAAAAGAAAAGCTAGGAAAGGGGTTGAGTTTTATTTCCAAATGTGTTAAATGTATATCGACTGAATTTGCATTGTAAAAAAGTACAATTAATCATACCGCAGAAAAAAATCTATATCTGCAAATTAACGAGGCATTATATATGTGAATATTTAACTTCTTGAGTCTTGTTAGTACAAGCGTGAGGCATACTCCTGATCTATAGTCCCCAGATCTTAAATATAGAAATTTGATATATTGTCTGTAAACAACTTCGTACTGGTTATTGTCAACATTGTGCTCAATTAATTTCTCCTCATGTTACTCGTATGATAGCTGCCAAATGGATTTTAAGTTATATCAAAGGTACTTAGGATTTTGGCCTAACTTTGGCTCCTAAGCTTGCTTTTGCATAATTGTCTGTTCAGATGTTGATTTGGCGGGTAACACTAGCCGCTTCAACACTCGCTACTTAATTGAAGGTGATGATATCCACACCATTTTTATTTTCCACACCCCCTTCAATTTTTTATCGTCGACTTGAATGAATTGAAAATAATCAAATGATAGAAATTAACCGAGAGTGTGTGGAAGGTAAAATGGAGTATGTTAATAGCAATACCCCTTAATTTATCTTGGCACCAATCCCATCTCGTGGTGCTTCAAAAAGCAACTAATGGTCTCTCATTCTGCTAAATTAGAGTACCAGTCTCTTGCTTTGTGTGTGCTGAAACTACATAGGTTTGTTATCTTCTACAAGAACTTGGTCATCGACGGAGACACCTTGGGCCCAGGGGGAGGATGCCTCCACTCAGTTTTTTTTGGTAAAAAACTGTACATGCTTGTGAAATTAGCAAGATATTTCACTAGTTTACTTGTTCTTGTGACATTATCATTAACTCTTCCAGTTTCTATTGCCAATGTTGAAAGAGCATTTCGGCCATGAAATTTCTAAAGAATCAATTGAGAAATCAGATTGGAGATCAATGGATGAATGATAACATGAGTATTTTCATAGAGAGAGACACTTTCAAAACATGAAAACATATCGAGGGATATTGTAATATGTTGTATATAAAATTTTATAGATTAATATACAAGTATTTTATATAGTAAATTCTTTAACTTTTTAATTTGTGACTTTGTTATTTGAAGATGCCTCCATCCATACAGATCTCTAACTTCGTCTATGGGGTTCGGTTGCTGACCTGCTTACTAAAGCTCTCCATCAGCCTCATCATGGTGTTCTTTCCTCGTGTGGTTTTTTTTTTTGTTGGGGGGGGGGGGTGGTGGTAATAAATTTACTTATTCTAGGAATCGTCTTCATAATTATAGAAATGTAATTTTGTCAAACCTAGATATATATATTGTAAACATTGTATCAGATTAATTAAGGAGTCATATAACTACAACAAAAATGTTATTTTTACCATCTCTCTTATAGAGACAGGACCCACAACAGAGATTGTCAAATGATGGTACAAATAGGTAATAAGTGTATCACTACTCTTTCTACAATGCGATTCATTGATTCTAAACACTTTCTCTCACTTGTAACGAATTTTCAAGTCAAACACATGGACAACACAAATCCTGTGACCTAGAAAACATATGGCTATTGGACTTCATGCGTAATATAACATGCTCATATACTATGAAAGAAGTTGAGGTTCCACGATAAAATCAATTGTCAATATGGGGAGTAACTCAACTCCTTATAAGTCCATTCAAAATTCCTCATTCCATCAATATGAGATTCATTCTCACCAATTGTAAATATGGAGGAAATTAAATCCTGCCAACCAAATTGTTTAGGCAGTTGCATTGTCAATACTGAAGATTATCTTTTCAAAAGTGTATGACACCCCAAGTTTCATAGACTAATATATACATAGATTTGAACTGTCATTCATTAACTAATAATCTATGTATTGCCAAGTTAACAACTTCACTTTGCTTAATTAGTTTACCAGAAGATTACCTGGAATTGCAGACTTCTTCAGAACCCTTTACAGAGAAATATCAAAAATAATCGAAAACGAATAATTAAGATAGTGATGTGCACATTGAAAAGGCAGCCGTCATATACCTAATGTTATGAAACTTGCAGCAGTTATATACCTAATGTTATGAAGTACTGGTCGAAAGTGTATCAGAAAAGAGAGTTTTGACCAGAATTGTACACATATTTTCTTAAAAATGCTTCCCCTAAGCAGCCTAACCTTTCGGCTGGGAAGGATAAACCCTATAAAAGCTTAACAGACAAATATAAAGCCTAACTACAAAAAGAAAGTGGTCTTTCACACAACAAGAAAACTTTTGAGACTTTAATAGGAAAGAACTAAATATGGCAATATTTAATCTCAAATAGTTCGTCTAGTCCTATTTTCTGTGATGATAGTGTGATTTGTGCCTTTGTCGGCTTTAGGTTTAGAGTTTACTGCATTGAGTTTACATTAGAAACAACAATTAGAAGGAAAATACTTGTATTCATCTCTTCTTCACACTTTGCAGATAACGTATCATTAAACAATTTTCGTAATTGGAACAGTATATTCAATTTCTTATGGATCATTTGAAGATCATATCTTCACAAAATCATTTGAATCATATATCGTTTAGTAACCCAAATATATGGAACAAATTAACAATATAAGTACCAAATAACACATTCATGATAAACCATTCATTTTATTGATATAGCAATAGCAATAGCAATACTACTAGGAAAATTGTACGGACTTTTTATAAAAAGGGTATCGGTACCATTTGTATTAAAAAATTATTAGTGGACATCATGGAATTGTTAATCATCGTTATTCATTTTTTTGGCTCCCTTCAGGTTTAACTGGTTACAAATGACCTTAATACTCAGCGTATGAAATACACAAAAAATATGAGGTTACACTATGATCATCAAAGCTTACAGTCCAAGACTACAGAGTAGTGATGAGGTTCTAATTAATAACATTGTTACTAGATAACAATGTTTATGTTGTGGATGTCTGTTACACTATTAAGATAGCCTATTATATATGCATGAACGTGTATGGATTACAAAATTATTGTTCAGAATAAAGGGTATTGGTACTCTTTTTTTAAAGGGTATTGTACACTAATTCTATTTAGAGACACAATATAACGCACATGCTAGCACAATCTCTAATAGAAGCGACTCTACCATGTATATAAAATCGATTTATATTTAGAGATGTGTTAGCAAGTTTATTAATTTTATGTGTCTAATGGAGCTATCTAGATATTACATACCTAAAACCATCTCCAAATGAGATGTCAAATCTTAAGTGGAATGTCATGTAATCATATTTGAAGGTATGAGCAAGCTCCAACCGATATGTCAATCCTATGTTAATTGACATATGAGTTTTCATATGTCAAATTTGACATATGAGAAAAAGTGATGTTAAATAATTTTTAATTATTTTATTGTGTATGTCTCATTAATGCACCAATTGTAGATCTTGAAAATTTATTTTAATTGATTTCTTTTTAAAAATGAGTCCTATAAATATCATTTATAACAAAAAAAACATATCAGTTGGACAAAGAAAAAAATTGATATTAACACATCAACTATATCAAATTAACATTTGATATTTATTTTTTGATACATTGGTGAAGGATAAGTACTCCTAAGTACACCAGGGCTACGAAGGCTCCAAAATTCCAAATCTCATCTTATATTCTCCCATACACGAAGGCCCCAAAATTCCAAACATGAACACCTAAATCAGTGGCCGCAACGTGTGAGCAACGATGAAAACAGTTCTCAGGAAAAGCATCCTATAGAGCGGAATATTTTCTCATGAAATTTGCCAAATCTGCAGAGTTTTGAATGTGGACCACTTGTTTTGTTCAAGGGAAGATTTAGTCAATTTTTTATATTGGAAGAGGTCATGGACTTTTGGCCCTTCTTTCTGAGGAGGGTCTACATAAAATTATACTAGTTTGGCAATTGTTTGGAAATTGGAAGGCTACTTATGTCATGCACGTTGCAATTTGCAATTGTGCATTCAACTGAAATACGTGAAATAGTGTCAATATTATAGGGAAGTGCAGGCCTAGGTTGGTAACTTGGTATTGAGGAATGAAAGAGAAATTAATGAAACAACAAAGAAACCCCAACGGGTTAAGTCTAGTAGAAAGCGAGCAAAAATTTGGAATCTCTAATTTGAATTTGAACTCTTACGGACATATTTTTTTAGGTCACCGGTTTTGCTTTGATGTGTTGTTTGACTCTGAATCAAAAGTACGCTACCGCCTCATATGAAACTAGAATTGTATGGAAAAACAAATTAGGCTGCTATCAATATGTAGTGAGATACCTCTTATATTAAAAAATAATAATAAACCAATAAAGAAATTGGTTAGGGTTTGCCCCTTTGTTTAAGTGCATAAAAATTCTACTGATCCCAATCAATAGTGTGGTGTTGCTTTGGAACTTATTTTAGTTATACCTTTTTGTTTATCCATCATACATGAGGATTGGATGTGCTTCATTTACAATTCACATTCATGACATAAGTTTGAAAATACCTTTTTCATTTTTTTTAATTCAAGAAAAATTCTCTAAAGTTAGAAAGAATTTCTTGTCGTGAATGTGTTTAGAATTTTTATTGTTATTACAAGCGATATTTAACATTAATTTACATTAAAATAAGAGAGTATTTAAACATGAGATACAATGAGTTAAAAAAAATCCTAACCATTAAGACAATTCCCTACTTTCATACGATTTAGGATTTAGTAAATATGTGTATCAACTACCCACTATGATATTGGTTGTTATGATTGCTGACAGGAGGCAAATTACATAACTTGAAGTTGAGTTTTTACCAAATGAAATCCATTTTCAATTAACAAGTAATGTTAACAATTTTTGTAAGAATCATGAAGTGACATATACACATACATATACATATATATATATATATATATGTTTTATTAGTGTTTTGGGAATCAAGGGGAGCAAATTGCTCATTGTCAGACTCATAGAGGAAAACTAACTTTAAATTAGTGAGAAGGTGGGTAAAGAATTTTTTTTAAGTAATCAAATCTTAAATTTCACTACCATTGGGCTATGAAAGTCAACTACTTGAATGATCAAACCAAAACTTCTCATAGAAAATAACTAATCCACACTCGGAGGAAATGGCTCCACTCAATTAACTTGTACAACAAATTGGAAAACACCTATTGTTTGATCTAGACCGCAGTATCATCATGTGAATATGTGAGTGCCTCATTTATTATGTGCTCAAAGCACATTGTAAGTCAAGACAATTATATAAGAATATATCTTCGATGTCACTCATTGTGTGACTAAATCACATGACAAAATTACATCTACACGAAATACTCTCAGTGACACCGAAGCCTTACGACACAGCAAACCTCTCCCACGCATGACAATAACTATAAGAGCGAGTTCCCCTGTCGATCTTCTTTCTCTCCAAGTCTTTTCACAATCACAAGTCACAACCAGTGGGATAGTTGAATATTTGGGCAATTAATTTATCAACCAAATTTAATATGACATCTCATCTACTACTTAATTATATATATAAAGCCATGTGAAAACTTAGGCTTCCAAGTTAGTCTATGTTATTTTTAATATGACTGAAATAATAATGCACTGTATCTGCATCTGCCAATTAAGTCAAAGATATTGCATGCAAGCATCCAATTAAAGGTAATGCTAGGGAGACTAAATTTGTAGACTAAATTTTGTAAACTAAATGACATAGAAGTTGATGATTCGATTATTACCTAAGCGTTGATTAACGTGCTTAATTTTTATTGATGACATATCATTTAATTTGCAAATCTAATTTACAAATTTGGTGTCTGTAGTACCTTAAATACTTGATGCATTTGTTGCTTCTTGGAAGCTGGTAAAAGTCCATTTAGTTTGTTAAATGAAGAATAACAATGAAAAACTGACTTTTGAAATTCCCATTCAATTCCTGCATCATTAGAATAATATTATATTTCAGAAAATATAATATAATCAGCTTCATTTGTCGGCACATTTGTATTACTATTTTTATATTTAAGAGTATTTTTGTCAATTTATTTTTATTTAATGAAGATTTTTTACGGAATGGTCAAAATGATTGACGGTGGACAAATTCATAAACCATTTTTATCGATGTTAAATTTCAAGGATCAAAATAAGGAGTTATGTTAATCTTATAGACACTTTTAGATAAAAATCCATATGAATATGTTGCTGACCAAACCGTTCCTTTTTCTTTTCTTTTTTTATGTTCAAGTGTACATGTGTTTAAATGTTTTGGTGTTGAAATTGTATGCCTTTTTGCTCACCACTTTTAATCATAGTGTAGTATTATCACCTCACTCGATGCTTGTCGCATATTGTTATTATAGTGTATCATAATCCATCTTGCTAATTACCATTTAGTTTCTGGGTATGAACTCGTTCTACGTTGAACGGTTGAAGGAGGTTCTAAGTTCTAATTTCATGAACTCTCGGTGAACTCCATGTACATGTTCTAATGATTCTGAAACATCTAAATGCTGAACTAACTAACCTCAAAAATTGATGGGTATATAGGGGTAAAATGATGAGTCTATAATGGTGATATAATGAGACTAGAAGGTATCAATAAAGGGTGGTGCTATCCATCCAATATTTTTTTACCTTCCACACACCATGTTAATTTCTATCATTTAATCATCTTCAATTGATTCGATCCAACTATCAAAATTTGGAATAAAACGAGATGTTTAGATAGCATCATCCTAAATAAAACACGTAACATGAATGAACTGTATCAAGAAGTGTGTAGAGGTTTTAGCACAACTGAAAAGAGGTTATGCTATTGGGCCGATCCAGTTCGCTCTTCTTCTACTCTACATTTGCATCGCAGAGGATTGTGTAGGAGCAGCTGGGTAGCTCTATCTGTTGTTTTACATCAAAGTGGAAGATGATGCGTGGGAAGATTTGATTTTCCAAACCTACTAGCTAGCCGAGAGGTGATTTTCGCACACTATTTTTAGTATCTCTCACACTTCTTTTTATTTCTAACTATTGGATTCAATAAAACACAAACAAAAACAAGAGACAAGATTAAACAGGAACTTGTGGTAGGCTAAAAAGGGTGTGTTTATCATTTCCTATGTAGTCATTGTACGCTGCAGAGTTGAATTTTGTGTCTCAATTCTTTCAGGTTTCATCACACTTTGGTCACTTATATAGCATCTACCACCAAGTCTCACCTCTCTGAAACTATTTGTGTCAAAAAAAAAGCAAATCATCTTGGCACAATGGCAATCAGGCAAATTACTCAATCCTAACATTGTTGTTTACACATATTACTGGCAAAATTAACTGAGATCTAGGCTCATTAGCTTTGAAATCAAAGTTCATCTCCAAGTAAATAACTCATCCGCATGCACAAATAAAAAAAGTTCCAACAAGTGCTATATCATTTAAGGATCGAAGTGAAACAAGAAAAGCAAGGAATGATCGATTGTTACTCGGCAAATATCAGTAAAGGTGTCATGGGAGTGATTTTAAAAATAGGAAAGTGTACCAAACCTCTAATCCAACAACTAATAATAGATTTATGCAAAGAAACAAATACAAATGACTGAAAACGATGGATAATATGCGTCTAAGAAAGATAATTCAGACCAAAAAGACAAGTCAATCTAATTATTCGAGAAAGCAAAACAACTTTTTAACTCCGAGACAACCCTTCTGTTTTGTGCTTAAAATGGGAAGCCAACAAACTTCAACAATCCCAAACCACCGTGTCTCTAACATAGTAAAGTAACTACCGCTTAGTAACCAAACGCTTTGCAAGACTAGTTGATAACCTTGCATTCTTTTCGTCTTGCCAGTTGCTACTACATAAAGTTGCATGCAACTCTACAGAAAGCAGCCAGTTCAATAGATACTAATATACTTGCCTCTTAAGCAAATAGAGGTAAAGAGACATGTCGATCTCTCATAAGAAAATTTCTCTCACAAATCAATTATATGAAAAAGGAAGGCTAGGTTCACAAACAATTCAGACATTGTACCCCAATAAATGAAGGAGGAACAATTCAGACCTAGAATTTAGGCCTTATCATTCCAACATCAACATCCCTTTTAGTAAAGTATTTTCCCAAAAATAAACCATCACCTCATCTCATATTTTATTGATTACTTTGATACAAATTTAACATGACATTACTTCAAAACAATACAAGTACATCATCTAACTCGTGAATGTTAAATTGAACTCCCATGTAACAAACTAGAAGAATTTCAGGAGATGCAAAAGATTTACTTTTTAATTCAAAACATGCATGCTCAGCAGTTCACCTCGAAAGACAAGCATTTCGGCTTTCGAAAGAAACTTATCAGCAAATTCAAGAATAGAAGGAGAACTCTTGATTTCAGCATGCACATGCTCCTAGATAGGACTGATATAGTTCACAAATCTGCCTGTGGACCAGGGTAAGAAAGAAAAACATAGTACCATCAGGTAACTCCCAATAACAACTAATATAGCTGTAAAAGAAGAAAACCGAAAGTTCAAAGTTCAAACTCACACCTCAGCACATAAATCAGGTAATGTTGCCATATGATTCTTTCCTTTTGTTATTTTTTCATTTGGTTTTGACAACAGATGCTTGACAGCATAAACCAAGAATGTTCCCAAAAAAAATTTGTTTATACTTAGTTTTCCCCTTAAATTCCTCATCCCACGTTAAGTTCTAATTCCTAACTTTTGAACAAAACTACTTGTAAGTTGTAACATATTCACTAACAAACTCTCTGACCACATCTCTGATAAATCTGAAACCCACCTGTGCAAGTATGTCTCACCTCTGTGAGAGATATAGTCACTAAACACGGTGCATATTACAATACTACTATCCTTTATCCAGTATAGACAATTTAACCAATCAATGAGAAAGGATGCTAATTTATGGTACTGCATTCAATGAAATTTACCCCTGTTAGTTTTCTTTTCTGGTTAGAGATTAACCTTCTTAAAGGACGTGCCGCTTGTTAATTGCCTTATCTCGAGGGATGGACATCATATGATATAACAAGATTACGGGCTGAATGACAATTAGCAAACGACACGCCGGTAAACGGATAGGAAGACGTAAACATGGATGCAAAAACACCAAATTAATAGAAAATGAGGACATTAAGGACCTTCGGAGGAGGTGGCCAGGGCCGGAAGCTTGGAGATAAGGCAAGCGGACGCAATGGCATTGTGGAGAGGTTGAAGAGAGCTCAATTCTCGGCCCAACAGCCTTCCAATGCAAATATAAACAAGATTATTACATTCATATACATTTCAAATGTGTATATACACAATATATATACATATGTCAAAGAAAGAAACTACCTTGAGGAAGAGGAGCGACGAGCCATGAAATTGGACGGAATCGAAGGGCATGGCGCTGCTGAAATTCTTGTTCTTGTTGTTGATGTTGCTGCTTGGCAAAACGTGCGCAGAATTGTCGATCTTCCGGCGATCGAAGCTGACATTTTTGTTCTCTGTTCGTCTGTGTGTTTCGTTTCGAAACCCTAAAACCTCTGTAAAACCCCAATTTCAGAGGAGTGACGGACGTTGAGCTCAATTTCACGTCCAGCTTTGTATTGGGTTGGGCTGGATCAATTCTCATCGTATTTGGGCTGAAGAGATTGTGGGCTTTTAGTTTGAAGTTCTTACAAACGTGTCAATAAATAAAGTGGGTACTTGTGGAAAATTTTTGTTTTCGTTTTTTACAAAACGATATTGTAAATTATTCTAGTAAGAAGGGGATATTCGAACTTGGGTGAAAGATAGTAAAAGGGAGGCATCTGTCATGGCCAACTAACTTATCCCACATATGTGTTGTGGTGATTTATTTATAGAGACACAAGTTACAACCTAGTTTGATATGTTATGTTGCTAAGCTCTGTCTAAACTATTATCCATGCATGTGTGAAAAATTTTACTGAAGTATCTAGTTTACATTTGAATGTATGGGGCAGATTAGCATCAGTGCCGGCTTTGGACGAGTCTAATAGGTTGCTTTGCACAGGACCCCAAAATTTGAGGGCCCCCCAGAATAATTTTATATTAAATGTAGTTATATAAAAAAAATATTATATAAAAATATCGTATAAAAATCTAATCAACACAATAGATATAATATATATAAATAGGAGTAGGCCCACAAGGCTATTGGTGCCTATAATCCCACACACCCATCAATTCAGTATGAAATTATATATTTTATAAAACTATATCTCACTTTTTTCCTTATTTTTCACACTAAAGTCTAATCAGAGACTCAAGAGTCTCTTTTTTTTCTCTGACGCCTCATCCCTCCCATTGCGTCCGAGTTCTCTCTCCACTGCTTTTTCCCCCCATAACCCACTAAACCCTAGTTCATAATTTCATCCAATTGAATTGAAATTTTCAAATTACAAAGACAATTCAAGTGATCAAAGTGATGCAGACTTCGATTAAATTAAGTAATTTATATATTTAAGTATATGAAGTTGGAATTTGAAAATTTAGATATTTCTCATCTATAATGATTTTTTTTTCTTTTATATGGAGTGCAAGTTCAGTGCAAATGGAGGTCAAAATGAGTTAGGGGTGAGGATCGAAGATTAGAAAATACCAAAGAGCGATTGCTACCTAGGATCTATCTTACAAAAGAACGGAGAATTAGATGGAGATCTCAACCATAGAATATAAGCTGAATGGATGAAGTGGAAGAGTGCATCCGGCGTGTTGTGTGACTGTCGTAGGCCACTGAAGCTCAAGGAAAAATTTTATAGGACGGCAATAAGGCCGGCGATGCTGTATGGCACAGAATGTTGGGCGGTGAAACATCAACACGTACACAAAATGGGTTTGGACATGTGCAAAGAAGGCCTACTGACTCTCTGGTTCGAAGATGTGATTACGGGATAGATGTTCAGGACCGAAAGGGTAGAGGAAGACCTATGAAAACTTTGGAAGAGACCCTAAGAAAAGACTTAGAGTACTTGGATCTAACGGAAGACATGACACAAAACCGAGTACAATGGCGTTCTAGGATTCATATAGCCGACCCCACTTAGTGGGAAAAGGCTTTGTTGTTGTTGTTATTGTTGTTGTATACTTTTCAAGGCAAAACTCATAGAAATTAATCAAGTAATCATCACAACAAGAGGGAGCAATCGCAAAAAATACTAGACGCACACGCATTGCGTACTATCAGGTTTTATTGTTCATACTTATTATAATTTAATTGTGATCTTGTTTGAGATATAAAAGATGACACCTACTAGAAAATATCTATCTGGCTACTTAAAGCGTCAAAGAAAAAGAAGGGTTGAACAATTGACTCAGTCTCCAAAAGGAGCTATTGAAAGGTTTTTTTGTTGAAGAAAAAGAACCACAAAGTTCAGTGGATGATTTAGTTAATGAACAGCACATTGACAATGAGAAATTAGTTGATGATTTAGGCCATGATGAAATTGATGATATTCTTGAAGATAATGATAATTATGAGGATACTCCTAATGCCTTCACTGGACAACCGAGTAAGTCCATTCCCTCTGGATAACCGAGTGAGTCCATTTATGATCCTCAAATTTGGGATAGTCTTGATCCCAAATGGATTGATTTGTTAGCAGAAAAAGGTCCTGTAAGAGATCTATCGATTAAGAAAGGTCCTAAAGATAAGTTTAATAGGCATTTTAATGCAGCATTTTACACTCGATACTTGTCCAATAAAGAGAAACATGATAGAGATTGGCTAGTGTATTCAAAAGATATTGATAAACTGTTCTGTTTTTGTTGCAAATTGTTCAAGAAAGGGCCTCTCAAAGGTCAATTAGCAAATAAAGGCTACAAGATTGGACACATCTCAATGTGAGGCTTAAAGAGCATGAAATCAATTCTGATCACATCTCGAACATGACCACGGATTGATTTGCATCTTAGATTGGAAAAAAAAATGAAACAATTGACAAAGTTGTGCAAGACCAGATCAAGAAAGAAAAAGAGCATTGGAGGGAGTTACTACGAATGTTGATTTCCATTGTGAAATATCTAGTTAAATACACTTTGGCATTTCGTGGAATGAACGATACGCTTTATGAAGAAAGCAATGGAAATTTTATGGGCTTTGTTCAAATGATGGATGAATCTGATCCACTGATAAAGAAACATTTCAACATTTTCAAAAAAATGAGATTTCTTACCATTATCTTAGTCATACCATCCATAATGAATTAATATTGTTGATATCTTGTGAAATCAAAACTGCAATCATTCAGAAAATAAAAGAAGCTAAATCTTTTATTGTGATACTTGATTGTACTCCTGATATTAGCCACCAAGAATATATAACTTTGATCTTAAGATGTGTGGATGTGAATAGTACTCCAGTAAAAGTAGAAGAATATTTTTTTCAGTATTTGAATGTGAATAACACATTCGAACAGGGATTGTTTGAAGAGTTACAGAATGTATTAAAAGCTCTTGATCTTGATATTGATGATGTGAGAGGGCAAGGATATGATAATGGATCAAATATGAGAGGGAGACACCAAGGTGTACAGAAGAGGCTTTTGGATATAAATCCTAGGGCAATGTACACTCCATGCGGTTGCCATAGTCTCAACTTAACACTTTGTGATATGGCAAACTCTTGTGGCAAAGCTAAAGACTTTTTTGGAATAGTACAATGTATTTACAACTTGTTCGCTAATTCTACAAAACGATGGTAGATTCTGAAAGAAAATATAAAAGGACTTACTCTCAAATCATTGTTGGCCACACGATGGGAAAGCCGTGTTGCGAGTGTTAAAGCAATTCAATCTCAACCTGTACAAATAAAAAAAGATTTACTCCAACTAGCAGAAAGTGACAATGACTTAGTAACAAGAAATGCAGCTAAATCTTTGGCAACATATGAAATTGGGAATTTTGAGTTTTTATTGGGCATGACTATTTGGTACGAAGTATTGGCTGCTATTAATGAGGTTAGCAAGGACTTGCAATCTAAAGACATGCGTATGATGTTGTTATAGAACAAGTGCAAGGATTGATTGCTTATTTTGAAAAGTACAAAGAAACTAGGTTTGCAGAGGCCATGATTAATGCTAAAAAACTTGCTATTGAAATGGAAATTGATTCCGTGTTTCCGGAAAAGCGTCACGTTCGTAGAAAAAGACACTTTGATGAGAGTGATGATGAATCATCCCAATCAACTGAACAATCAGATGATGAATCTTTTAGGGTTCATTACTTCTTATATATAATAGATCAAGCTATTGATTCATTGAAGAGAAGGTTTGAAGAATATAGAGCATATGATGATATATTTGGGTTTTTGTTCACTTCAGAAAGATTGAATTCGATGGACAATGATAAATTGAAAGATTGTTGTGACCGTCTTCAAAACTTTCTCAAGAAAGGTGAGTTTGTTGATGTTGATGGGGATGCATTATTTGTAGAGTTGAAGCTTTTACGAGAGCGTTTTCCGAAAGAAATGAAGACATTCATTGACATATTGAACTATTTGAAGAGGATGCATTGTTTCCCGACTGCAAGCATTGTGTACAGAATTTTGTTGACTGTACTTGTTACCGTTGCATCTGTGGAAAGAAGTTTCTCAAAGTTAAAGTTATTAAAATCATACTTGCGATCAACCATGTTGCAGGAAAGGTTAAATGGACTTGCTTTGATATCGATTGAAAGTGGTTTTTTAGAGAAAATTGATTATGAAGGTTTAATTGATGATTTTGCAACAAAGAATGCACAAAGAAGCCTCTTTAAGTGAAACTTCAATGCTAGACTTTTTTAAGTTTTGTTTATTTGGTTTCTTAAGATTGAACTAATTGTTGATTATTTAATAATATGGTTATTTTTGTACCTTTCTTTACATTTAATGATATTTAGAAACCAATGATTAGTTTGAGTTTTAAAGTTTGTTTCGATATTGCTTTTTAGCATCAATACTTTGTTCAATTTTTTTTTTTAAGGTTGCCTTAAGAAGGGCCCCTTTTATAAATTTGGCACAGGGCCCCTGAAATCTCAAAGACGACCCTGATTAGCATATAAATAAAGGTAGTTTACTCCAGTGAAAAAACTACGTCTATTCGCCTATAACCTAATGATAGCATTAGTAGAGTAGGGAACTCTCCAAAAACCAATTGCCATGTGACATGCTCATCTATGAATCTAAACATCATAATACTCGATGACTATCTATCATGTTGTTATCGAATAAGACAACACAACTCTTTGTTTATAATTCTCTAGCCTCTTAACATGCGCTTAAAAATACCAATTGGTTTCCTCGTGCAGTCTCCAAAACATTATTGGTTTTTGTTTACACCTACATACTTTGTCACTAGATGAATCATTTCCAGCTGATTAATACTTACAAATATTCACATTTAAACTCTTCATCGTCAACTGTTGATTTGGTGATAGGGATTGACCATCTCCCTAAATGAGCAGTATAGTTTATGCACCAAATCACCCATCTTCTGGTAGGGCCATCAGAAAAGTTGATGACACAGATGCATCCTACATCAAGATGAAATGATCCAAGCCATTCTTTTGTCAAATTCAGGCAGTTGTTAGATCAAATCCTCAGTCCATTAGAGTCAAATCTGTTTGAGTCTTTTATTCTCTTTGTAATTCTTATCTCTAAACAGTTGGTTAGGTGAAGGACTTTGTCAATATTCTTAAGCGCTCTGATTGTATATTTGAATTTCAAACCTTCCATGTTTGAAACCCTAAATGTAATCTTCAGTATATTATAAATACATTCAATCCAAGCTTGACGGGGTATGAAATTGACTGAAAAACCTAGCTACATATTTTACAACATTCAGAGTTCTTAGTTTGTACATGGTACACAAAGCTTTCTGAAACCAACGACAACGATCCAATTTTTTTTTTGCCCACTACCTTCAACAATGTCGTCTGATACAAACAAAAACACCACCACTACCACTAACCCCCCTCCTCCACCTGCAACCAATCCATTTTCCTCAGCCATGACCACCATTGTTAACATTAAACTTGACAGGACCAACTATCCTTTGTGGTTGGCCTAAATACTCCCTATCCTGAGGAGTCGTGACTTAATGGGGTATGTAGATGGCTCTTGTGTTTTTCCTCCCAAACACCTTCCTGGAAACACAATAGTCAATTCGACATACATTACCTAGATGCAACAGGACCAAATGATCCTCACTTAGATCAATGGTTTCCTCACCGCCTCTGTACTGTCAACGATGGCAAGCAAGCGCACTTCACGTGTAACCTGGGAAGCTTTAGAGCAGCGTTATGTATCATCTTCTCATAATTGAATCCTCCTCCTACGCAACGAACTGTTGCAAACCAAAAAAGTGACCTTTCATTTGCTGATTTTCTTGATAAAATGAATTCGATTTCTGACAACTTTGCCATAGCTAGGTAAGCATCCGTTCAAGCGTTCCTGTGAATCAGCGAGGGTATGCTCCCCACAACAATAGTTAACGATAACTGCACGAAGAAAGGTTAGTTTCTAGAACTGTTCATATCATTTGTCATATCTATGGAAAAGAAGGGCATCCAACCCTAGACTGCTATCAGCGTATAAATGCAGCCTACGAGGGTTGTATCCCAGGGAAGCGCATCACTGATATGGTTTCTTCTTCGATCATACTCAATCGTCAATAAAATGGGTTCTGGTTATTTGATACCAGGGCAGAAGCATATATTACTCATGAACTTCCGAATCTTGTCAATTCCGATGAGTATAATGGGATATTGGACTCTCTATTGCATATTTTGGTTCAAATACAATTATGACTGATTCTTGCTCATTTAACCTGAATAATATATTACATTGTCCTTCGGCCTCAACAAGTTTGATTTCAAAAAAGATCGGGGGTCAGAAAATTTTAGGGCCCCACTTCAAAGGCCTGCCTAGGGCGCCTAAATTCTCAGGGGCTAGCCATGGAAGGATGTCTTCAACATCAAGGTTCTCCATCTCTTTTATCTCCAAGTCACGTGGTAAACAATCAACATCCAAGCAATCTGCAACTTCTTGCGCCTATGTAAACACCAAATCTTAAAGCTTGGTGGTTTCCCTTGGCAGTCCAACCTTAAAGCTTTATAATCCTCAGATATGTTTATGAATTATCAACATCCATGTCAAGTAAGGTCATTTTCGTAGGGATTGAATGAATAATTTATGTAAACACCAAATCTTAATTAATTATTTGAAAACAAAGACTTGAAAAGGTTGATTTTGAATTTAAAAATAATAAAAACAAATTTAATTAAAATGATTAAAGAAATTAGCAAAGTAAAGAAAACAAAGGAAAACGTTTTGAAAACCAAATTATTAAAACCTAGGGTTCCACCGTCCCCTTAACAATCCTACGTAGATTTATCAATTACTTATGAATTACCCATGCAACTTTGAAGGTTAGGTTTTCCCTATACATATTCTACTTGTGGCATTCAAGCTAGAACGTATATCAAACATGCAATCTGTTTATGGCATTCAGATCAAATATAAACATGCATAACTCCTTACGCTTTGTGAAACCCCTTTGAAAAACCATGCAACCCCTAAAACGTGGCATTTGCCCTAGGTGAACTTACAACTATCAATCACAAGAAGCACTACCCAATTCCCCGGTGGCATTCCGACCGAATTGAATCCAATTACTTATCTAAACATCTTAATGGTAGCTAAGCATTAAGATACAAAGACAGTTTAAAGCACAATGATTAATAATTGCATGCATAATATCATAAGCAATTAAATAAAAACTACATATTCATGCTAAGGCTCAGGAATTACCCTAGCAAAAGAAAATTAGTTACGAACAATCATAAAATAAAAGGAATTTTATTGAAATAGAAAAAGGATAGAAAACACCTAGAAAATAAACTTCAAAAACTCTCTAGAGTAGTGTGTGCGTTCTCCCTATCTCCCTAATGATAAGAGCATATTTATGCGACTTTGTTAGCTTGTTTCTTTACATTTAGTGAGTTAGTTTCTGTTTATTATAGTGATTTGAGCTATTTTCGTGTGTTTGTAGGTCTAATTGGCAAAGGTGACAGGAAAGAGCAATTTGGAGCTGTTTTGGACTTGAAATGGATAGCATGTGTATGGAGCATAATGGATGGACGTTTTTGAAGTTTAAAGAGGCTAGGAATGTGCTACAAATCTGGAAAGATCAAATCAAGACTTGGAAGATAAGGAATCAGCTAAAAGGAAGGAACATTATCTTAACCAACTTTATCTTATCCAACATTATCCAAACTAACTTTATCTTATCCTATCATAATCTTATCCTACCTTATTTCCAGCTGCAATGGGGACTCCTTTTCATATTAAACCACCTCTTATCTGATTTCTAGGTGTCCGAAAACAATGCTAACTACTAATCCTTCTCCTCTACAACTTTGTGACGTGCCCTAGCCCTATAAATACACCCTTGCTATAGAATTCAAGGGGGAGCTTTTAGAGAGAAATTCAGAGATAAAAATATATACAGAGTGCTGCAGCTTTGCAAGGGAGGAGAAGAAGAAGCTTGGAGCCGTGTCTGCCATTCAAGACCTTTGGATTGTTGGAGCATTTCTAGGTGTATTCTATCTTTTGTTTTCAATGTTAAATTTTAATTGTCTTTGTTTAATTGCAAACTTGTGGAACTAATTTCATTTTAGCTAAAGGTGAATTCAAAGCCATGAACATATGTGTGATATGAATTGATTACATCCAGTTATTGTTTCATAAATCGTGAATGCAATTTGCTTAACTGTTTGATTGATAACTTATTCTTGTTTGTTGATTAAGGATACATACTTAGTTTGCATGCAGGGATTGGATACTAAAATATAAGGGATTTTCACCTAATAGTTATGAACTTATATTTACAAGTAGTGGAGGTTGCTAGTCACGATCGCGTTAAGTAAATTCCTAGCAGGAGTATCATGTAGTTCATAGTTACGAATGCCTTGTCAATACTTATGATTTTCATATAACTAAATGATCTTTGATATGTATCTCTATTATGCAATTCATGTAGGGAACTTGATAAGAATAATTTGGTTGCGTTGTTGAGTCCAATTCAATGAATTTAGGAAAATCTGATGGTTAATTTGTGCAGTTCACGGTTAACTTAGGGCATTGTCATTCATGGTTTATAGGAAGAATAACTGGAAATTGATTTGTATGCATATGCGTCATGTGTGGAGAAAGACCCTCTAGCTAGCCTTTCACCCAATTCACCCAATTTCATACCCTTTAGTTTGTTTCTGCAAGTTTGTTTGTTTAAATCTTAAATTTGTCAAAATAATCCCTCATTTAGTTTTCTGAGTCTTTTTAGTTTAATTTTCGTCCAAATTTCCCTTCAGTTCCTGTTTTGAGTCAATTTAACTTAGTTTGTGTGTTTTGAGTCAGTTTAGCTTATTTTGAGTAGTTTAAGTTTAGTTTTCTGTTTTTTAGTCTAGTTTAGTGATTTAGAATTTAATTACAAGCTCTATTATATATAGTGAAATCTAAAGAAAATCCTAATCCTTAAAGGATATAGAAAACTCTAATAAACCCTAAATCCTAACCCTTAAAGGATATGGAAAATTCTAATATCCTTGTCCCACAAGAAAACCATAAACAAAAATAAACTAATAACTAATTTTCCAACACTCCTAATCCCCGGCCTAGAACTATCCCTATTTACACATACTACAACTATCAAAAAGAGGGTTTAAGTTTGTGTGCTATTTATATCACACCACCTAATGGCTAATAAGCCTTATTTATACTAC